AATCAAAACAATTTTAAAATGTAATTTTTACTGTAAAACTGTGGAAAAGAGATTTGTTTAAGAAAAAAAAAAGGAAAGTCCGTGCACGCTTCGAACCGAGGACCCCCGGATCGGAAAGTCTCGACTTAACCCACCGAACCACGCTTTGTGGTAGGGCAGACCACCCAACTTCTCCACGAGATGCATGTGGCGCATCTCCAGCTCCCCTGGCAGTTGGATAGGGTTCGTCGCCTTGACGGGGCAGCTGTTCTTGATGCACTCGTTAAAGTCATCGAGTCGCTCCAAAAAGTCCGGGACAAAGAAGTCGGGATCGATGGCGAAAAAGATCTGGCCAAGGTTGGGACCTTTGCTCTGGACATTCGACTTCCAGGGGTGGACATCATGGGCCCCATGGACAAGTTGGCCCCCGAGACGTGGTCCCACACAGCAGATCAATCATGGCGGTTCCAGGCAGTAGCCGACTTGTTGGCCACCACAAAGCCGACGCCTGGGTTTTCGCATGTTTCACAGCCAGCATGGGAAAGCTGCCCACAATGACGCCCACTGTTACCATTCACATGCCCAGCTGCTGCGGAATGATCTCCGGCTCGTCTATCGGCGAGAGAGGCCCACTCAGGTAGAACCAATGTCCTTCATTGGCCGCTGCCATATATGCCACGATAGTCGGCGGCCACAAGAAATTCGCTGATGACGGCTGCCGGTCAAGGCTGACGGTCTAGTCATAGCGACATAAAGCAACAAGGGACAATATTTGGCTCATATTCTTTATTCCTATACTGAAATTGCTTGTGCGGATATCAAATCTATGCCAAAAGAGTTAGTTACTAGAATTGATCGAATTGGTGCTAAAAAAATACTCAAACAGTTTTTCTAAATTAATATAGCAGCAGCATGGTGAATATTCAACTACTCTCTGCTAGGGTATACGGTTGGATCACATTGGACTAGGAACTGTAATGGGTTGGCTTGAAAAGTGAACCCTGATTTCGGAGTCAAAACTCTTTTAATGGCAATTGATCATTCGCAAGTGGATAACATTTCATTAGAATACCAAGTGAAGTGCGCATTTATGTACATGTGTATGTACATACATCTATGTACCGACATATGTACGCGTATGTGAAGAGATATGTGTATGGGGTCCGTCACAGAGAGGAGGTATGATTGCCGTTCTGAACACACTTGAGGTGAAACTATTTCGACCTGCTCAACAGCTTCCAACTGTCTACCTGTGCCTTCAAAACCAGATAGTCAACCAGCTAACAGACCATTCGAACCTTTATAATTTATTTATCTTTATCTTGAATTACGCCATGGGAGTATTGACCAGGGTAAGTCTGTAAATTTCAGCATATTCATGTCGGGCAATAGCAATGGCAAACAATGGAGTATAATTCTGAATTTCATGTGATTGAAAACTAAGAGTTTCCAATCGAACAATTAATAGTAAAGAACAAGAAGAAAATAAATAAATAAATAATAATAACAGCAAAAAGCCAAACCAAACAGTCGCTCGCATCGACTCGTATCGCCTCGCTCACTCCTCACTCACATTCGCCGGCAAAGGGTCAAAAGCATTGCCCAAAAAGCCACGCATCCAGTTACTCCAAAACTCGTGGAGACCGAGGCCAAGACAAGAGTCTGAAGTCAACACTTTGACGGTATTGAGTGACGGCAACCGTTGGGAATAAGCGGGACGGCACCCGATGGATGGATGAACATGCGCGCGTATCTGCGCGGCTTCCAAAAAATTAAATTCAATTTAGAAGAATACAAACAGACATGACATCTAAGCAAACTATGCAAACTTTGACCCCCCATAGATATTCTAAACTATTGTTCTACTTGATCGAAAAACAGTTATTGGAAAACATTATCCAAGAGTGCGGCTGTGATGGAGTGACGAAGATCATCATACTCGTGTGTATCCGCTGCGATTTGGCTTATAATTAGACTCAAGCACGATTATTTCGGAGTGTATGCGAGAAATCTCTTGGAAAGACCTCTTGGAAGAAACCTAGCCCAACGCCGAAAGTCGAAAGCAAAGCCGAATATTCAGGCAAAACAAAAGACAACCGGTTTATCTGTATTCTTGGATATTCTATTTGATGTTGGCAAATGACAAGATAATCCAAAGTAATCAATCAAAATTATTTAAATTTATTAAGCCACAATAAACTTGAGCCCAATTCGCAATTGCCACGTTCTTAGGCTCCAGCTGAATCTAAAGACAGACATGATCTATCCCCCCCTGGTGAACCCAACGATCAAGATTACTGAAGGGTCATTTACACATACAAAATAAGCAACATGTTAGTACATGCACGAAGGGTTCTCTGCTCACGAATGTATTGTATGAAGATTCATTTACTTACAAAAGAATGATATAGTGACGAAGCTATGGCAGTACAGTAGTGGGCAGTGCGCCCACTAAGGGATTTTCTAAAACTCTTTTTCCTGGAGGATTGGGACAGCACGAGATTTCATTTTTAATATTGCTTTGCTTGTATCTATTATTGACTCAAGCGAATATAAAGTGCCGCCGGCCTAATAAGAAGTCGATAATACTGCAAGTAGATTGGCAGACTACAGCAGGTGGCGGTGTTTGGCCCTGCCTGGAGCAGCAAGGAAGTTCTATGAAGATCTTCTTTTGTGTTGAGTGCTATCAAATAACATTTGAAAATTATTTGTGCAACAAATGCGTCAAATTACAAAGCAATTTAAGGGCACGTGGAATGCGTAAACGTTTACATAGGAATGAAAATCATTTCAGCAACATTCTCCAAACTACAAGAGAATGTATATCTTTATTCTCCGAATAGTTTTAATAGTATGAATATTGTACATATGTAATAGAATGCGCCATCAATTTGACTTAGTGAATTAAAACGATGCGAATTTGAGGAAATGGAGAGTATGTACCATACCCAGGGCCAGCCTTGTTTGGTTGCACTAGGAGAAATGCCTTATTTGGACCACAATGCCTTTTCCTCTTCAATACGGTCCATACATCTGTACATATGCAAGCCAAGCACATTTGCAATTGAATAAACATGTTCAATTTCTGAAAACCTCAAGCTTTTGTGTCAAATTACTGTCATTCTTTTTCCGCAATCTTCGGACACAATGAGGAATTAAGAAGCTGGTGAATGTAATCAACTAGGAGTATTCAATGCTATACCCCGACCCTGCTACCCTCCTAAAAATCCATAATGTATTTATTTGGCTTATAAATACATACATATTTATGTAAATACGAGTAACATTTGTCAAATTTTAAGAATCAATAACCGCATTTATGGATAATGTTGCGCATTCTTATCATATGAATCTTGTATTGACACTGTATCCGGGATATTCAAAGGCCACACACCACGGACGGGGACAAAGTAAAATGTCTTGCGATATCAAGCCCATTCACTAAGCTAGTAGCTTCCGACTTCACCCTTTATCCTGCCCCGTGCACGTATTTGTACAATACATTTAAGGTTTTCCATAATCACAATGGGACCTTCACAGCCAATTCCTTAACAACAACTCCTTAAACCGAACTCTACTCTAACGGTAGCATAGCACATCGTAACGTAACGCTGCTTTGCGCCACCGAAGCGAAGTTGACGTCGACGGTGGTACGTTGGGTACGTATGAAATATTTCTGCCTTTTTGGCACACTGCCGGGACGGACTAGTTTTCATTTCGCGTTCGTCTTTCACGGAATAGGGTTCTTGTTCTTGCCGTCGGCTCGGATCGGGCAAAAGCGCGTGTCGATTTCAGATTATTCCTCGCCTGCTGCCCCACGTGCGAATGTGTTCCAGTAAAGAAATAAAATAATGATACGATATTGTGGCTTAAACCAATTCAATTTCAAAGCATAAATTGGATGACATGAATTAAATAACATCAATGAAAGTGTGTGCTTACTTATTTCCTAGGAGTGACGATTCTGTGAAGTTAAATATGATAACATGACTTTAGCGTATGTGGATATGCCAGCGGTTCATGTTCAGGTATTTTCAGAATCTATTCAAAAGGTTTGGCATCATCTCAAGTGTACCTTACAACAAAAACAATAGTCATTGAATGATTTCATCGCCAGTTGATACTGCATATGTTTTTGGCATCAAAAAGCTATAAATTTGTTTTTTATGCGTAACAGTATCGAAAGCGTTTCCCTCCAACGACTTTTTGCGATTGTTTCTATGGCTTTGTATATGAAACATTAACCGGTATTGACGGGATACTGATACAACTATTGTGATGACGCTTTGGCAATGTAAGAAATGGATGTAATATTTATCCGATTGTGGCGAATTAAGCAAGATTAATGGAAAATGTCTATACATATAATCTAAAAAAGGTGTACCCATCTGCATCGCGATATTCCAGCTCATATAGTCTCGGAGATCTGTTCCTGCAGATAGATATACGAACAGGAGTACGGATAAGTCGGACTATTCCGATTAAAAGTATATACTTTATGTGGCCAGAATAACTTCCATCTGCTGTTTACATTTGCCCGCATTGAATTTTGCAATCTAGTTGTGCCGGCCCTAAAAATAATTAATTTAATCATTCCGACTTTCGGTATTAATAGTTCAAATAGTAGAAAAAACATCTCTGTTCATTATCGAGGCTTATTAGGTGTCCCGAAACATACAAAAAACATTTTGTAGAAGCATATCAGACGATGATTAAAGGATCGATAACGAGTAGATCTACTAGTGCTCTATATAATGCTCTTATGTATATAGCTTTTATCATCTCGTATCAGCTGTACAAAAATTATTCTGTTACTCCAAATATCTCAGTAAATGCGAACCTAAGCAAGTCGCAAAAAATAGTATACCTGATGCACCTATAAACTAAAAATAAATGAGGAATAGAATTAAAAGTTTCCTATTGGCATGCGGAATTTGTAAGCCTTTTTCCGAAAGCCCATTTGATTCCTGCCTTGCTTGTATTAATTCACGGATTCCCATGATTTATTCTTTTGGTATCAGGAGCGCCTTAGTGGACATGGGAGTCTAGGATTGTCCAGCAGCAGTGCCGCTTACACGACCCATTCCGGCGGACACACAGGTAGAAGCGGTCCGGCCACGGGGCATAGTGGACACAGTGGTACTCATGGGTCAGCAGCTACCATGCATCATCAATCACTTCAGTCTGATTTCCAGCCTCCGTATTTTCCGCCACCGTTCCACCATTCGACGCAAAGCCCTCCTCAGCAACAGGTAAGTTATCATCTCTATCGAACTAATTCAAGTATTTGCAATGTTATTTAGATATCTGAGTACTTGCAGAACCACGGTGCCCTCGAATACCTGGGCACGGATCCGTATGGTCAGCCTTTGTCATCGTTACATCATGCCCCCCTCCATCACTACAATCAGTTGGCGGGCCTGAGGTCGACGCAAGATCAACTTGGGATTCATAGAACCCACAGAGAGGCGGAGCTCCAAGGACATGTTGTAAGTGAAGCAAATTAATATTCACAATAAAGCAGTTTCCTGGCTTCAATCTTTCGCAAATTTAAGCATTTTTTTGCCTTTGCATTATTCTTGCATACTTTGCTACATTCTTGGCTTTGCTTTGCAAGCCCAAGAGAATTTCCAAGGGAAGAAGTTGCTCGTCCCTGTCCCCTGTCCCTGCCCAGCCCCCTGCTATAGAAGTTTGAAGTTATTTTCTAACAAATTCCATTCGAGTGCATTACAAAAATTATCCGCTTAAATATGCTAAAAATGTTCTTGAGAATATACAAAAACCATCTTGCAAACAAGGATGGAAATTCCTATCCCGCAGAAGGGTGACTATACTCAAAATTATGAGTACATTTTGTTGGCTAAGTTCTGCCATGCCATGCAGTAAAACGCATCATTTTTGATACGAAAAGGCGTATCCTCGGAGGCACTTGTGCGCATCTGTACTCATATACGAGGATATTTGTACATACATACAACATTTTACGAAAGTATGTGTAGAAGCCGGTTCGCATTATTCCCAAGGCTCTGGGATTGGCTAGGCTCCTTCAACCCCTTGGCAAAATAAAGACCCGATGTATCGTAATCTGGCAATTATGGTCATGGTTTTCAAAATTTCATTTACTTTGTACGCGTACTGCAGATGCATACGTATGTACATACATACATACATATGTATGCTAAATGTGGTCATTTTTATATCCAAGAAGCACCGCGGATGTACTCGAACTTAAGCGGAAACGTGTCCGACCCCATAAACTTGCGATGCCATGCCAGTTGAAGTTTCATTCCCACAACTCTTTCCGCCCCCAAAAATCGAGAAAAACCAGTTGTAGCTTGCCACATCATTTTGTACATTATATAAATAAATAAATTGTTTACAAAAAACGAATAATCTCCCAGCTACTAAACGGCTTCTTCTTTTTCAATGAGCGTTTGAAATATGTTTAATCTATATTTTCACAGTCCCAGCTGGCTCATGGATTTCCGTACACAGACAGAAGAGGCGACTACAGTAGTGCAATATCGGCGGGAGCGGCGCATGGAACCCGCCTCGGGCACGAGCATGAGTCCCTGGCCCTGCATCAAGCTCTGCAAAACGCTGTCGATGATGTTCAAGCACCTGCCATAGATGACAACGTAGCCTTCATGTCAGACCTTCCACTTATCAAAAGTAAGATTGATTAAATATTTATTAAATACTAAAAATTATTAGATTTACCAAAAGTGAGTAGAAACTTTTTAGAAGTTGATAACGCAGAAAAGGAAACATTTCCTGATCAATAACGTTGCCATGTCCGGCAAGAAATCTTTTTGCATACTGCTCTCCCAGTTGATTTCACACAACCAAGATTCGATTTTGGAGTTATGAGTTCTATTCTTAGTTAGTGCGTGCCACACATAGGAAAAATATTAAGAAAGCGGAGATTTTTCATATGATTATCTTACATTAATACATTTACTTTACATAAAATATTGTGTTGAAATATTCTTTCAATTCATCTGTGCATACAAAATCATTGATGCAAAGAGAAACAAAAAAGTGTGTGTATGTAAACGAGTTAATGTACTCATGTACGAGTGAGTACCTTACATTTTTGAGCTTGTAAGTACCACCGTACCGTACCGTAGCACATATCATACTGTGAGCAAGGCGGAACCTTGAACACACCTAAATAACAATGAATGACCAACCCCCGAAACGAATGATGTTATGAAATAGAATCTTGCCCTTCTAATTGGCAGGATTAGGGGTAAAATGATCCCTACGTCCTGCGCTCACACTTTGCCAATGCCGAACAATCACAACAATAGTAATAATAATATATTTCCTTTACAATGAACAAACATGTTCATGTCCCTCCCCGTACCGTACGAATGTCTAAACTAATTTTGAGGTTTGAATTTTTTGTGTTGCGTATTTTTATAGGCATGAAAAGCGGTAAAGATGCAGGGAACATTGGTTCTGGTTCCCCCAGTGAGGTATTCTGTGCAGTTCCTGGTCGCCTTAGTCTCCTATCGAGCACGTCGAAATATAAGGTCACCATTGCGGAAGTGCAACGAAGACTGTCGCCACCCGAGTGCTTGAACGCCTCCTTGCTGGGCGGAGTTCTAAGAAGGTACGTTGTTTATGCCCATGAGTCTCCACGAGTGCCATCCATGAATACGTTTCTTTGCATATGCAGGGCCAAGAGTAAGAACGGCGGTCGTTTGTTAAGGGAGAAGCTTGAGAAGATCGGCTTGAACCTACCAGCGGGAAGGCGAAAAGCGGCGAATGTGACACTGCTAACATCTTTGGTGGAGGGAGAAGCAACCCACTTGGCCAAAGATTTTCACTTTGTTTGCGAGACAGAATTCCCGGCCAGGCAGTTGGCGGAGTACATTGTGCGTCATCAAACGGAGCCCAATGATTCATATCGACGAAAAGAGCTCATCCTTCACTCCCAGCAGGTAAATACATACATTCATAGATAGTTATGTTATGTGCGTAGTGCTCATTCGATACTCTCTATAAATGCTCTACAGATTACAAAAGAGTTAATGCAGATCTTAAGCCAAGATCGGACGACTCATTTTGGAACAAGATCACAGCACTTGCTGGAGCCGTCGATGCAGCGTCATTTAACACACTTCTCCCTGATTACGCACGGGTTTGGTTCTCCTGCAATAATGGCCGTTCTGCATGCTTTCCAGGTAAGCATCTCAGCCCCTGCTCTAAATGTTACGTGTTAGTACATCTTGTCACATCTTGAATTGAATTTTCTCTTGCAGACATTTTTGAACGAATCATTAAACTATTTAGAAAAGTTATACCCTTCGAATGGAGGTGGTATGGTGTCGTCATCATTGGACAAAAGTAAAATGGACAACGAAAAAAAATGATAGGCCTAGGTGTATATTGCCACAGATAAAAGCAAATAGTATTTTAAGGATACTTTCAATAGTACGTTAGATACGGCAAACCATAAAATAATAGCATACCTGTAAATTAATTTATTTAGCTAAGGTGTAAATTATTTAATTTTTGTATATCTCTAACTGTAATTTGAATGTAAAATATTCACACCTATAATATACATCTAATTTATTTAACTTAGAAAAATGCATCGACTCTTTACAACTATTATAACGAGATGATCTTTAAAAATAAATTCATTTGTAAGTAGAAATGATTAAAAAGTACTCATTTTTAATTTTCTAAGTAACTTAACTTACAATTTAAAGATTTTAAACTGATGCGAACGAATAAAATGTGTTTTTAAAACTATTGCTTATCAATCTTTAATAACAGAAACAGAAATATAAGAGCGTAGGATCCTTTCCGGGAATACCTCTCACTAAGAGTCTGCAGTCATTTTGCGGACATATTTCCTGACATAATCTACGGCTCATTGACCAGTCAGCTGCAGTAGAGTCTGGATCCCCCCGATCTTGGGAAAGTAGGTCCTTCGTCGATCTGACCATATTTGCCAGAGTTTGGAAGAGTCCTGCCAAACGATTGCCCCCCGAACAAATGTCCTAAAGCATTGTCAAACATTTATTTACAAAATAAATCGTTTTTTCACAAATAAGATAAATAATACAACTACAATAAAACTTAAACTGAAAATAAACATCATTGACATTCCTAAACTAAACTCTGATTGGCTCCCAATTAGATATTCAGCATCTTGTGAAAGTTTAATAATCTCCGCATCTAATATTTGTTTAATCTGATTGTTTTGATGCTCTGTAAAATGGGAAAAAAAAAGTTATTAATTGGAGGCTAAGTTAACTGAATCTACAATACCTTCACGTTCACTTGTAGCAGCCCACTCCACATTAAGTTTTTCTTCCAGGTGGTGATTAGTTTTTCTCGATGTAGCCCTTATCCAGTCAAGCTGTTCACAATGCTTCAGTCTGGTACTGGCTTCAGTAACATCATGCGGACCAGCTTTAGAATTATTACTGGATATCCTTAAAGGTAATGGGGTTTCTGTCATTTTCTTAAACTCTGATATACGGTTTAGGTTCTGCAGCAAGCTGGATTTGTGTGAATTCATGGCAAAGTCTAAAAAGGTAATCAAAACCCAGTAGCAAGCCTTCTCGATATGCGTCGAGTCGAGGCAGTTCGAGTCCCCATATACAGCAATGCGTCCTTGGTGTGGAACATTCACATTTTGAAGATAGCTCAGGCTACGTTTACTCATTTTTGGTCGTACGAATCTACTTTTAAATTCTGAGTTCTCGGTCGAAATGGAATTGTTTCCATCATTGCTGTGTTGACTACTGGAATTAGTTTGAAATAACCCCAGAATCGGTACAACCTTTTTGGGTTCCTTTTTTGAAGATTTTGAGCCAGTCATAATCTGAAAAGAATGAGGTACAACATTTATATAAGCCCTTGAGTAGATTCTCTATAAAATTACCGATAGGCCTTGGTCGTTTAAGCTGGTTCCCACCACAATATCATTTGGATTAGATGGAAATTTAACAATTGTTGTGCCACTTGCATAATACATGGAATGATCGCCAAGTTTAAAGTGTCCCTCTCCAACAAAGTCACCAAAAGCGATTCCAAATGGTTTCAACAGGTCATTTAGAGCTGGAATATTGGCGCCACCAGTGTCCGGTATCCACCATTGTCTAGTATTCTCGTCGAAGAATTTGATTTTCTTCATCACTGTAGTGTTGTACCAATCAGCGAATATGATTACGCTAAGACCGTCCTTATGAACATGTTCCTGTAAAATATGTACTTCATCGTCATCAAATTCCTTCTCGGGATCTACAACCAATAAAGTTCCATAATCTGAGGCGTTGAAGCATGTGTAGGGTTCACGCAAGACATCGACGTAGTATCCAACGTTTCGTAAATATGTATACATGTCCTTGAAGTTTGTATGAATGTGGTCAGCTCTCCAATCAAGAGGATCGGATTTCACTTTCAAATCATCTCGTGGTATATACCTTGGAGGGTACCTCAAGCTGTGGTACTGGTCCCACAAAATTCGTTTATTCCTGGGCGGTTTTTGTGTGACTTTTATAGTTAGCGGAAAAATCACTTCAGTTAAAAGTGTTTCGTTCCTTTTGTCTCTTAAACTTTCAACTACTAGAGATATGTTTCCCTTCGAAACGCCTTCAAAGCCTTCTCCATCTTTATGAACAGCTGAAACGAATTACAAACGTTTTTTAATCACACCTTTGCATCTTTGCGTACAATGCCACTTACCAATATAAACTGCCATCCATCCAGTCCATGGCCAGAGAATAGGTGAAAATCGTGTTGATATTTTGAGAAATTGTCCATGATGATCTACATCTGGAATCCATTTTGGAGTACCTACAACACGACTGGCAACTGATATTCCATTGAGTATTGTTACATTCACAATGGCCACGGAGCTCCCGAAGTAAAGCGGCTGGGAGCTGTATGGCCACATGTAATTCGAAGTATAATCAAGTAATGGTGGAATTAGGCTTATTTTCGGCCTATACGATAGCAGGCTTTGCATGCTTTTCAATAGGCTAAGCTTTCCTTGGCCCTGCTCAAACATGTTATAGGATGGAAGTTTTTCAGCTCCTTCTATGATTACTTGTTTTAATGATGCTGGGTTTATCAGTTCAATTCTATGAAATGCCCCGCTTATAAGCAACGCTGCTACACCTGCAACAACTGGCGACGAAACTGATGTTCCCGATAGGCGTCTACAGCCTGTGCGCACATCACTGCCCTCCACTTGGCTGCCATAAGTGACTATGTCTAGCCCTAGTCTTCCGTAGCCAAGGGGGAGCTCCCATGTGGTCATTCCGCGGGAGCTGAACTTTGCAATTTTGTCATCAAATTGAATGCCGCCTACACCTATCACATCGCTCTGATCACCAGGATTGTTAAGAGTTCCATATAGGGGGCCATCATTTCCAGCTGACGAGACCATTATAACATTATTAGCCGACAATTCCAGAACCTTTTCAACGAACGGCGAATCCATAAAATCTGGTCCCCCTATACTAAGGTTGAGGATGTTCACTTTTCTGTGTATCGCATAGTTAAAAGCATCCAAGAACCACGAAGTGTAGGAAACCTAAATAAAACACGATTTGGTTAATTATTTCATTGATTAATCCACAATTTTCTTACCTGCGAGTTTGTGAAGACTTTAAAGATGTACAACTCAGCGTCCGGAGCAAGCCCCAGGCATTCTTTGGATGATGCTATCACCCCGGCGACAAATGTGCCATGGCTAACTCTATCGTCCAGAGACTTTTCATTTGTCCAATTAGTTCGCTCCTTAACATTCCGGAAATGTGGGTGATTTTTGGTTAAACCAGTGTCAAAGATGGCTACTTTTACACCTTTCCCAGTTATACCCAGATTCCAAAGGACATTTGCATGCAATACTGACGACACTCGTCGTGACCGCTTGTCCTCTTTGCGTACTATTCCTAGAGGACGACGGTTGTTATCTATTATAGTTTCATTAAACGTCCATGCCAGAGTTCGTTGCACACTTCGCTGCGGAACGACTGCCTTAACTGATGGATGAGATGTGACTGTCTTTACAATTTGCTCTATCGAAGATCTATCCGAAATTCGTAATATATCAAAATCGCTTGGATATTGGCTAGCCAAATTTGTTCGAGGTAAGATTCTCCAATTTGATATCTAAAGTAAGTAAATGATATTAATTAAAAGGTGATCATACATAATTTAATCATAGGTACACACATTTGAATTCAACAGCTTAGTTCGTAGAAAATTCTCTCTGACCGTAGAAAAGTATTTAAAATGAAATAGAACAATCAACTCATTTGGGACGACGGTGGTTTTAAATGTGTCTGTTTCTGATGTCGTGCATGCAGGAATACATTGAAACAAAGTGAAGCCGCTTATTGCATTTATCAAACAAATAAAGTTATACACATTCATTTAAGTTAAGAGTAAAAATAATTAAAATAAGAAGAGAAGACGAAATAAACAAAAGAGCCGAACTAGGGCTGCTAAACCAGAGATGCTTTGAAAAAAACAATCGATACTGTCGTAATAGTATCGGGCTCAACCAATTATTAATTATTAATGTTTTTTTCTTTTATATTTACTTGTTACTAACCTGATTAAATAGAGCGGGGTTAAGCTATTTTTTTCTCGTGTCCTATTCCTATATGTTCATACAAATGTATGTGTGTGCACACATCTTCATACGCATGTGTGTTGGTATAATTTTGGATACATGAAAATGTAAACAAATTATACTAACGTGTTACACAAACTTAAATTAAATATATCCATTAAATTGTGTTCCTATTACAGAGTTTGACTAATTTGCGCGATTACACCTGGAAGTAACTTTAATCATGGAAGAGTTGTGCGGTAGCAATTCATCAATATCAGCCAAGACAGCTTTGAGCGAGTGCTCAGCCGCTTGGATCAATTACTTGAGCGCTCTGAACAGTCTATGCACATCTGGATCCAAGTTAGCACATTCCATAGCAGTCTTGGAACAGTGGTCATTAAATGAAAAGCCGTTGTTCAACAACTATACTACATCTTATTTAACAAATTCATGGAATGATCTGGCAAGGTAAAAACATATATTAAGGGCTAATAAATTCTCAGCCACTTCAGTAATATATTTCCATGTCTTTATATATCTTCCTATAGGGCCACAACTGTGGCAACAGGTACTGTCAAAACTCATATGTTGGCCATTCTACAGGATTTTGTTACCATACCTTCCGTGGATCAATCTGCTCCTGCAATGAATACCGAGCTGGAACAAAAACGACTCAGAGAGCATAATGAGCTTATCGTTCTGGAAAATGCACAATCAGTAATCAACATTCAGCATCAGTTTTGTGCAGCTAGCTATGATGCGTTTTCATCACTTACATGCTGTTTCGTTTGCCAATCCCCAGTCGGGTTTCCACATGAGCAAGACTGTAGCGTTATCAAGCAACGGTAAGAAATCTGCTCATACTACTCGTAGAGCCTTAACTTATCTTATTTTGAAAGCTCTCAATACGATCAACGGTCACAAACCCCATCGCCAAACTTGTGCGTCTCAAATGTAAAATCTGATTCGTTGAAAGGAAATTCCTTAACCGATCAGCGCCCTATTGCAATTGGAATTACGGAATCAGGTATTATAATACGTTTGCAAGGTTTTTTTTATATTTACATATATTTTTGTTTGTTTCAAGTGGAACAACAGCGCTGTCCATCGCCGCTACTAACGTATCATGACCCAAATCCAATGCAAGCTATTTTTGAACACACACGTGGTCCGTTGCCAAACCCAGGACACTTGCTTTCGATGAAGACCCCATTCCACCGGAATGTAAAATCATCTCTAAGTTTTCCGTTGTTTCCTTTAAATGGTCAGCGCCGTTGGTCAGAAGCTGCTGCAGGTGAAGTTATAGATGGAAACTCTACGGATCCTGAAAGCCAGATGAGGAGATGGTCCATGCCATGGGAAGCAACAAAGTCTGACACCAACACAGTGACATGGAACCAAACCAGAATAATGCCAATGAATACTTTAAAGACCGCTTCTTATAAAATGTCCAGCTCTGACCGATACACTTCTCATAATTCTGGTAACACATTCTTCACATTTCAACTCTTGAACTTATAATATCATATACCGTACCATTTCAGATGGAAACTGCCCTTTGCCATCGAGCAGTCAGGATGGTCTACTTGAAGCTATTCAGTTACTCTCAATAAAACCAACCACAATGAATCAAATAAATCCTCATACTTCTATTCCGCCCACCTCCCCGGATGGTGGCATAGACTAACTGTAAACTTGGATAAACTATTCGTTTTTTTTGTCCTTTTTACTTCCTTTTTAAATGCTGTCAGAAAGTCACTATACACAACTGAGCCCTAAGTCGTGCCGTTCTTTCTATCTACAACATCAACATACGCACTCACAGAAGTCCATTCCCACAAGTGTGTAATGATTGAAACTTGTAGTTCCAATAGTCTGAAGTTCTAACATGGTCATGGCATAACTTTACAATGCACTATCCCTACGAAGATTGGTCCGGGTCCGGGTATACAAGTACTTTTAAAGATGATTTACACTGCAAACGAGAGTTTTCAATCTATAGTATGTTAATCTACTAGTAAAAGATTTTATTTGTGCTTGTATAATGCCATTCATTATAAGTAGGTAAATCTTACACACTTAATGTTATGTAAATTTTCGGTTTTAAAATTTAAATTATGACACTAGTGAGATTTTCTATTTCTTATTCCTACGAACACTTATAGTTAAAATACCATAATATGATCTTTCGTTCTCTTTTTTTAATTATGTATACACATACGCGCACATATTTTTCACACAAACATGCATATTTATGTGTGCATATGGGTTTTTGTTTTGTTTTGTTACAAATATTTATATTAATTATAAGGTTATCCGTAGTTCACTATTCGGTGTTCACTAGTAGGGGGGATTTCTATCATACATTTTTCCGTATTATGTTTGTATTAATATAATATTTATTACTAGATTATATATATATGTAGTATATTTAATTATTTCTTTAGATATAAGTTGTACTTAATATTGTATTATAGCTATCGACTAAAAAAATATCTTGGAAATTACATTACTTTATGAATGTTTACTGGTTGAATGAAGAATTTGGTTAATAACGAAAATGGCTAATGAACTAGGAAAACAAACGTTGAGATGTATCCGACTAAATCTTATTTTGACATGTTGACTATTTAAAAGGTGTCTAATTTTTCACTATCGTTATTGGTACAATGCAAGTGCAAGGCGCATACTACCGCATATACAAGACATTGAGCGCTGCTAACAATTTTTGAGTTCACAGTGTGTGTACAAGTACTGACAATTTAAAACAATACGATTTCAAACACCAAATTTGTACGGATACCGGATCCTTAAGTGCTGCACAGTGAAAAAAGAAACCGACGAAGTAGGTACAAGTCGTAACGGTTTTAGGATTTGTCAAAATCTATTTTAAAAACTCATCATATTCATATTAATATAATATAAAGTACGAGTGCCAAACAAATTCTAGGGCTATGGGATACTGATGGATGAGAATAGCTCACTTAGTATTCAATCAATGCAAAAAATGATTCAAATTAGATTTACAGTCGCTATGGCTTTTTAACGTGGGAGGTTTTAATTGTGTTTCCTTTGTGATTTCAACAAATTTGACAACTTACAAATAAGCATACCATAAGATATAATACCTTTTGGGAGGTATGGCGATATGCATCGTATAAAAGTTTTAATCATTATGTCTAAGTGTGATAATATTTGTATGTAGTCATGTATATTTCTAAATGATTAATATATATGTATGTAGATATATGCATGTACTTCGGCATTGACGTGCAATGAATTATTTTATAAGTATTTTCATTCATACTTACATATGCTTTTACACAGATATATATATTTGTTAATATATTTAGAGACTTTAAACATTTGGATTTGAATATTTACAATAATTCATATTTTCGCGTACATTTGATACTTTGGGGGTGAGATATAGCTGAGATATTCAACAATATAAAATGACACACGTACAGCTTTTCGGCATTGTTAGAGGGGCAATGTTTCTATCCCTCCAATTGCTTTCCCCATATGTATGTTCTTTAAAAAAACTAAATAAACAAAAAAATATATACATAAATTATATATGTACATATATTCCTAATCAGCATCAACACCGAGTCGATGCAGCCATGACCAACTGTCTGTCTTGGATATCGTAGACTAAACATTCTATATCTACCCAATTTGATGTAGATGGGTGATCTATTTTGCTCTCCACAGAGTAATGTGTCTCTTTTATGTATGTATGTATGTATGTATATGCATTCTTGCATTAATTGTTAAAATAACTATATTTAATAGAAGCGTTACGGCGTTATTGCTACAAAAAATGGAATGCAAGAACGACTTCCGCCACAAATAATAGTTTACTTCATAGAGTTTTTAAGAGTTTAGCCTATTAGATTAACTTCCTATAAAGAACATAAGATTAAGATTATTATATTCAGATTTCAATCTTGTTACGTTCTTCTTAGTGTACATACATACATATACATACGTATAAATATGAATAATTATTTGCTAAAGTTTTAGTAAGGCACCTTTTAAATTATATTTGCAAATAATTGTTAAACGCAATATTTTAAATACTGATGATAGGATTGAATACCAACGCAAATATACATAAAACTATTCCACATATGGTTGGAACTAATCTATTATTGCTTGAAACGCCCATTTTATATTCCATATCGATGTCGAGAAGAAGGTCATGATTTCGCGTATAAAATTGGTGAATATCGCTGATCTAAAAAAATAATATATATATTTTAAATTTATATTTAAATTTAAATCCCAGAGGCTGAACTGTGTACTTTTAAAAGTGAAACATACCTCATTCCAACCATATTTGTTTTTAGCTTGAACAATCGCTTCATATACGGCATTATGTTCCAGGTTTTTGACTACATACGACATCAAGTAGTGGGATCCATCTGTCCTTATTGGCGTTGGTTTGATGTGGTACTCGTGCCATTTACCAGGATGTTGATACGTTTCGTTCATCTAAAATGTAAGATTGTTTAATGGTTTGGCCATTTCATTGTGTTCACTGTTACCAAAAGCCGCCGGTACAGTAGTTTAATCTCATCCAATGGAGGCACAGACTCGATTGCCCATGTTAGGTTGTAGTGATCTAGAAATCCGCTTAATGCGGGAGAAATAAAATCAGCTGGACCCGGACGTCCGGAAACTTCAATATATTTCTTAGTTCTGCCCAGGGCATTATCAGCAACACAGCTATAATTGCCGAAATCTGTCGGTTGAAAGTTGCGAATAATAAGGCTGTATCTATCATCACGTGGGTACATGGAACGGCGATCAGTGGGATCCAGTAAAAATGAATTTTGATACCATAACATCTGTAATTAATAAAAAACAAACCGAAAATGGTTAGACATTGTAAAACGGTTAAGGAATTTACATTATTTTATCTAATTAACTCTCGATTCTCGTATCTTATAAGATTCAAGTATTTTTCTACTTACTTCAGAGCTCACATCACCGTGCACAATGCAGACCAGCTCAACATCATAACCTTCTGCAGCATGAACCCAGGATTTTTCAACAGTAATTTCTGGGGGAGCTGGAAAAAGAAAAGTTATTATTAAATGGAATATTTATAATTCAATCACTGTCATTGATAATGAGATAGATTTGATATACACACATAATATCGTTAGCTGTATGTCCATTGAAACTCGTTCTTTAACACCATTATCTGCTGAGCACTGATATGTGCCGGCATGGTGTCTGTCCACATTCTCTAATATCAATGTGGAACTATCCGATAGATGAGTTGGGCCAGAAAAAACGTCTTTCTTGAACCAGAATATTGTTGGGACCGGATTACCAGATGCTTTGCATTCCAATGTGACAGTGCTTCCTTTCCGTGCTGTCACTTGTCCATTATGGGGCAGTGCCCTTAGAGTTGGTGGGACTGAAAATAGTACAAAGTTGTTAAGTAAGTTCCAGCAATATTTAATTCTAAGTAAATATAATACCCAAAATTTCAACTGTATGGACTTGGTCACGATTTTCCTGATCTCCAAGCTGGCATATGTAGTCCCCGGCATCCTGAGTTTTAACTCCATTGATCTGCAAGTTGTAGTCGCCAACAATTTTAAAGCGTTGATCTCTGGATATTTTAAGATGCCCAGCGGTGAGCACAGATGAACCCTTTCTCCACAATAGCACAAAAGATCCAAGATTTTGTACTTTGCATGGCAGCTCTATTGTTTCTCCGACAATGACTTTATAAAGGTGACCTCTAGATAAAAATTTCGGAGCAGTTGTGGGTGGATCGTTCTCTGGCAATATGAAAGAGCCATCTGGAAAAGTATAGAGATTGAATTGACCATTTATTCGAAACATGTTCAGTTTTGATTTATTCTAAGAAATATTCAGAGGCTTTCGCATCTAAAGACTTCTGATTTTAAGGAAATTGTTTGAATAGTTTTTTAATATTATAAGGATTTTTCATAGAAAATAACACGTAAGTACTTACCTATGCAATATATAGTAAGCGCAAAGAAATATAGAGCAAATTGCCAATACGATCTCCTTGAGTAGTAACTCTGAAAAACACGACAAAATGTAGCATGAAATTTTTTTTTTAGCAAATTAGTTACTTTTTTCTGCGCTTAGACACATAAACATCACAAATAAAATGATCTGGACATATAAACTTTAGCAGGAAAAAAACTACAACCCACAGAACCTAGTGACATATCGAGCGATCTGGGACGAGATAAAGACTTAGGGTATACCTGATCCTTGCAGTAGAGGACATTGAAACAGAATGGAGATTCCCAAGGTTATCAGAGGAGCGACTTGAACACGCAGAACAAACTATTCGCAAAGGAGGAGAAATACGATCCCCATAATAACAGGAAAGTTAGTAAAATATCATGTCATCTGTGGTTTCTGCAATGTCTGTCGAAGTCTTACGAAAATCTTATTAACTATTGGCTAAACATAGAATTTCTGAAACTGCTGCACTCCGTTGACATAAAATTTTACTACAGAAAATAAAAGAACCGCCGATTGATACTGCTCAGTAATATATTCAGAAATGTATATTCTGCTAATGCTTCCTTTTGCAAGTGGGCGATTGTCCTCGTATATATGTATAAACGTTAATAAAAACTAGGGATGGGTGCGGGTGGGCCAGGCTTGTAAGGCACGGACCGACTCGGCTAAAAAACGAAAAAATTTTCATGGCACGGTGTGCCACGGCAAAAAAAACGCAGTCCATGCGCATCTCTAGTACAAACTAATCAATATGCAGGCGTTTTAAACCCCAAATGAAAGAAAACTTTAAGCACTTCAATTATAAAGTTGATAAAGTTATATGAATGAATACATATATCTAAATACACACACGATACACGCTTATGTAAAACTTATGTACATACATTGCAGGTATAGCCACATAGCATACATATGTACATACTTTGACATTATTACAGACAATAAATCTTATTCGATTTTTAAAAGTGAAGCATTTAAAATACACAATTATGTTGCAAAAACGCCAATTAAAGCTTGACATTTATGTTGTAATAAACATTTCTGATGTTGGGGGGCACACAATTTCGTCCTTACCATTTTAATATGTATTTATTGTGCGTGTGTCTTTCGTTTTCTTAACTTTTCGCTAACCGCCAGTTAGTTTAATATCGTAGGCTCATTAACTCTCACACCGAATCACTATTGCTTGCTAAATTAATATCATTTTCTCTTGTTTGATGTATAAAATGGACTTGAATTGAGGACTGACAAGTATAATTGTATTTATTCTTAAAAGTTATATTAATGGAGCGCATGCTCAGACGAAGGCAGTGCTATATCGAAAGCTTTTTGGAGCTTTGGACACATGAAAATGTC